TATTCATATTTATCTTGAATAATATAAATACAGTAATCTACACATTACTGCTTTTTCTGTTGAGTCTGGTTTAAAATTATATACTTGCAACCCTCAACTCTTTTCATCAATGTATCATATAGGTTCTAGGGCTTCTCCACAGAAACCAGAGAACCTATTTTAGGATGGGCAAACTGCTTTGCAGGAGATTTGAACAAAACTGTATTTTCCTGCATAATCTCACTGATTCATAAGTTAAATTTGAGTTTCAAATATTAAGTCACATCAGTAGGTCAAAATCAAATTCACAAACATTCTACATGATACAACAAAAGAAGAATGCCACAGCGATCATAGTGAACAAACTGAAAAGGAGGACTTACTCTCTACCATCCCCTATATATCATGTCATGTCCTATAAATAACAATTTATGTTATTAAATTTATGTTATTTATAGGAGACTGCCATCTTGGGTAATAGAGCACCTTTTCATTGACCCAAGGTAAAACAAAAATTGTGCAATGTCTTGGCAAGTCTTAAAAAGATTTTACAGTACCAGAGGAAAACTGGTTCTGAAACTAATAAAAGAGCAAACATATTCATTTGCTAGGATTAAGAAAATAGAGTAGCCCTTAATTACAGCTTTGTCTTCCATTAAAAAGTTTTCTACCATATTTTCTTATATTTAAATAGATAATACTAATTTCTTATCACTGAGCATAGAGAGGATTCATGTAAAATCAAAGTACATATTGTCAACACTGATCCTCAGGTGAACGATAATGGAACATGTTTTCGGGCTCTTTTGACACTAAGTACAAGCAATGAAAGCCGGTATGCGCCACATACAAAATGAAAAATTTCCATTAAAAATTTCCATTCCTTTAAATGTTTTCAAATTACAGTGTGGTATTTGTATTAATATCACTCATGGCTTAGTATTTTTTCCTCTTCTTTCTCTGTCATCCACTTTCTAGTTAAACGCAAAACAAAACAAAGTTTCCCCCCTACCATGAATTTGCCAAATCATTTCGCTCACGTTGATCTAGCTTTTATCGTATCACACTTAGATTTATATAGAGACCTTTCTGGAAACTGTTTAAGACAACCACAATCACGTGCACATTCACACGCACAGATGCTGATGGTTAGAAGTGTGGACCTCTTTGGTGACTCTCAGTGAGCGGTGGCAGGTGCTGACGCTACATTCACAAAGTGACATTTCTAGTTTATTTTCCCTAGCAATTTAGTATATAAATGGGGATATTTTGATAATAACCAATAATGTCTACTAAAATTTTACTCTATAGAAGTGTTCTAAATATATTTTCTATAATTAACATTTCAGGGGGAAATCGTCTACTGCAAGGTAATGCTTTAATATATAAGTTCCATATTGTTAAAAATTTCAGAGTTCTACTCATGTATCTAAGAGTGTAACCCATCTACTAAATTTGAGCACTGGGCATGTAGAAATAAATTTATTAGCTTTAGATGGTACCTACTGAAATAGTAACCTGAATATAATATAAAGTTTAAAGCTTAGATGGTATGTCCACCTGTTCCCTCAACACTTCTATTTAGGTGTGTGTGTGTGTAATAAGCATCCCAAACTCAGCAGATCCCTAAGTCTCAATTTTATACCTCTGTCCTGTTCCCACATCTGTTCCTTCTCCAGTCTCCCTCACTTTGGGAAATGGCACCAACAATTCAGTTTCTTTAGCCAAAAATGCATGTAGGGGTCATCAGTGACTCTCATACCTCACAGTTATCCAATTTATTAATGGGTACAACTGCATCAAAATATGCCCAAAGCTGATCCAGGAGCTCCATCACTGTTACTCCAGGCAAAGCCCTGACGATCTCTGACTGGTCTATCACAGCAGATGACTATACTCTCTGCTGGTCTCCCTGCTTTCACTTCTGCTGTCCAAAGACAATTTTCCACATAACAGCCGGGGAAATTCTTTAAAAATGCAAACCAGGGTCACGTCAGAGTGCTGATGGAAACCTTCTGAAACTAACCAAACCAAAATTCTTATCTTGGCTTTAAAGGCGGTATGTATGCTATTTAGCCAAGGAATAACTTACTCAGCTTTGGTCAACTTGTTTCAAGACAAATATTATTTAGTAAAAATTTGCACTACAAAGTAAAAGTCTGAAAAATGTCAAAACGTTAAAACTCTAGACATTAATATTTGGAGCATGTATACACTTGTATTTATATATTCATTAATTCTTTCCTACGGTTTCCATATTTTATAGAACAAACAACTGCTACCTATATTGTCAGAATAAAAAACTGAAGAGATAAATGTGCCATTAAAAGTCAACACTTGTACTGTTAATTGTGGTTAATTTGCAGCATGTAAAACTGAAAACTAATTTGCTGTTAAACATATGTTGTTAAAGTATTTCTGTTTAAATAAAGCAACTGCACTGTTTCTGAGGGAAAAATCAAGAGTAAATGGGGACAATATATATTCACATGCACTTACAAACTGTAGTAGTAGAAAAATATCAATAAAATACATTATCCTATGAATTTATTCTTAATTTGTCGGAGAAACAGGTATCTAATATTAAATATATAGGAAGCAAACTGCAACCTCTGCTTTTTAACCCACTTGCCAATATGAATTTAATAAACGATACTCAAATTTAATCTCCAATTGGCAAGATTTTATTTACTTCATTTTCTGATGTTCTCTGAATTATCATAGTTAATTGAACTTAGATGTTTTACTACATATACATATATCCAGAGTTCATTTGAGGCTAGGATATCATATAGTTCTTACTGATTTAGAGCTCCCTATATGGAATATGTGTATTTGACTCCAACTTTTATGTCAGCTACGTTATCTGGCAGTTCCCAGGAGTTACCATTGGAGAATGCTCCAATTACCTTAGTTTCCCACTGTCCCCTGAGTGATGTCACATTTCACACTCTTGCTTTTTCTCGTCCACTCCCTTTTTGAATTGTGTCTATTCTCTGTTAGGGAATTTCCATCCTCTCAAATAAACATCTTTGGACTTACAAAGCCTGTAACAGTCTTTCCTCCAAGCCTAAGTAAAACTAACAAGTAAGAATTGCACAGTTTAGTGCATAATGTTCTCTAGTGATTCCATGTAATTTAATTTTATTTTCTAAAATAGAGTGTAAATTTCTTGGGGGCTGGGATTTATCTTATCCTTCTTTTGTATTTATATGTATTGGGGTCTCTAGGGGACCAGCAGAGGAAGAAGTGAAGATGCTTTAAGACTTTCAATTAGAGGTGAGATCTTATCCAATAATCAACCAAGCAACCAGGTATTCTCAATATATTCACTACACCTCAAAACAATAAGGTGTCATGGAAGAATCAGAAAATAAAAAAGGTTTTGTTCTCAAACCCTAATATTTTCAATGTGGAGAAGCACTTTAAAATTAGAAAACCATGGAGCAGACTACATAGTTAAATGTGTAGAAAGTTAACTGTAGGAAAAATGAGAATTAGTTTTACCACTTACTATCATTATGAATGAAGGGTCACAGAAGTTTTCATAAAGAAATAGAGCCTGAGACATGGACCTTTAGAATAAAGATTCTGAAAGGGTGGTGCACAGGCGAGAAGAACTTGAAAAACTCAAAAAACAAACAAAAAAAAAACAAACAAAAAAATCAAGACAAGACTGGAGGGCAAGCATTAGGAATTACTGAACAATATTTTAGTTGGGTAAAATCCTGTGGATCTTACTGCTAGCAGAAGAGCATATAAAAAGAAAGAAAACAATGCTAGGTTTTAAGTAGGAAAGTGGTTTGGGGAAAGTAGAATTTAAATTATTTCAGCTGTGTAAACAAAATCTATTGGAGAAAAGGCAGGTAGTCTGATTGGTTGATTGATTTATAAAGAGTTTATTTATTTATTCATGAGGGACACAGCGAGAGAGAGAGAGAGAGAGAGAGAGAGAGAGAGAGAGAGAGAGAGAGAGAGGCAGGCAGAGACACAGGCAGAGGGAGAAGCAGGCTCCATGCAGGCAGCCTGATGCGGGACTCGATCCAAGGACTCCAGGATCACGCCCTGGGCTGAAGGCAGGCGCTAAACCGCTGAGCCACCCGGGCCTCCCAGTAGTCTTATTTAATATAAAGAGTAGGAGGGGATCCCTGGGTGGCTCAGCAGTTTAGCGCCACCTTCAGCCCAGGGCGTGATCCTGGGGTCCTGGGATGGAGTCCTGCATCGGGCTCCTGGCATGGAGCCTGCTTCTCCCTCCTCCTGTGTCTCTGCCTCTCTCTATCATAAATAAATAAATAAATCTTTAAAAAAATACATAAAGAATAGGAAAATGGGAATCAGGAGACCTGGTTTTATCCTGGTTTGACGTGGGTACATATATCATTTAACTGACTGTCCAATGTGTCTCTTGTGTCCTCGTTTTTCAAATGAGACAACCCAGGTTAACTTATTTTTCAGTTAACTCATTTTAAAATCCATTAATACTAATTCTAAGATCATAACATATCATGTGTAAGCTTCTTTCAGTTGTCCAACTCTGAGGCAATGGGGCAGATTTAGCTGATTATAAAAAACTTCAAAAGAACAATCAATAGGATTTAGTGGCTGAATAAGTTTAGGAATCGAGAAAATTGAAAGAATCAAAGGTTATTTTCTGATACCACACTGGATAGTTGGGATAAATGTGACACCACTCAGGGAGAGAGGTAAATTGGAGGGGAAAGCTCCTTGTGCTATCTTTCCTCTTCTCGGGTACAAAGATGACGTAAGTTTTCTCTCCCTGTTCTTCCATGTGTAATCCCACATGTAATCCCAGAGTTAGAGAAGTATCATAGATGCTGTGGTTGCCAGCAAAGAAGAGGAAGGATCTTGATTTCTGGTACCTTAGTTTCTAAACCTGGCTGGATCATTTTTGTTGACTTTCTATTCAAGTTTCTATTGACTTTGTACTTTCTGTATTGTGTACTTCACATCCACTATTATCGTATCTTTATGCACGGACAAATGATCTCCAAGTAACTCACTTGATGCTAGGGACAAGGGTGGCAGCTGGAGGAGGAGGTGAAAGCCGGGGAGGAACATCATACTCTTCGCTTCCCAGGTGACCATTGGAAAAGACCTGAAAGGACATCAAAGGGTTGGTTTAGAATTTAACTTGTGGAGGACCTTAAAACAGCAGCAGCTCTTAGAAGAACTATAATTTTGAAAAGAATATGTAATTTCACAGTTTATTTAGACAAGTAAAATATCATATAATTTACCTAGGGAGTCAGTAGCACCATAGTGACTATTCACTACCACCCAAAGGAGTACCGAGTTATAGGTAAAACATATAATACAACATGATTCTTATACATATTGAGAAGGAATATGTACTTTAATTTCTATAAATCAGATATTGGCTAGATACAAAGATAGTAAAGTTTCCCCAAATACCAATAAATTTTTATTGAGAAGTTACCATTCTCTCTAGGAAAAAGAAAGCAGTACTGGTGCAATTCTTATTTCAATTCTCCCAAATAAAAGTGTTCTAAATCCTCTCTCTCTGGAGTTAACAGAATATTTTTAAACTTCTTGATAAAATAGTACATGAGTACAATCAGAAAGGCCTTTCATCTTTCAAGGCTTGGACCTTCAACACTATTGGCAACTAGAGATCTGTTCTGGCTTTCAAAGTGCAGGCAATTTTAAATGGAATTTTCAATGTGAACAACACAAACTAAAACTGTTACCTTGCTCATAAGGTACCGTAGAGAACCAGTGTTTAATTACTCAGAATAAGAATTTCCAATTTCCAGGTTTCTCAGTTACACTACAGGGACTGAACAATTGCTTGTTACTAATCCAACAACTTGAAATTAAAGCCATTTAAAGAGAGAGAGAGAGAATAACTTTGTATATTCACGCACGTACAAAAAAAATTAGGCGTATTTTAAAATCTTTAAGTAATCATTAGAGTTTTATAGTGTGGCTCTTACCTAAACTCTTATTAATTCATATTTAAAAGGTAGGCTGATGTGGGGGCAAAAGGCTATAATATAACCTGAATAGCTCTATAGCACCATCTATGACCTACCAATTTCTTTTCCTCCCCTCATATTTCTGAAATGGTACTGAAGCCTTTAGAATGCTTAAAATAAAAGTCCACATCCTTCTCTATCAACTTAAAATAAGAAACACGGTTTAAAGAACACATTTGAAATATATCAATGATTGCATTTCAGAGCTACACAATCTAGACCTTATAGCACTGAAGTTTCATCTAAAAACTAGAACCTGTGCTAGAATTCCAATTTCTCTTTTGCACGTCTCCTTCGTTAGAGGCCATATGATAGTTACACATTATGATAAAACAGATCGCAAACACCGTTTCACTCTAAATTCCACATTCCCACCTGCACCCATTCCAACAGACTTAGAATCATTTTAGCTGCCACTACCTGCGTGAGTGCAGAAAGTTACAAGTTGAGCTAAAAATAAATATTTTATATTATTTGGAAATCTGAAAAGCCTGTTTATAAATAGGAGAGAAAAATAGTTTCTCAAATGTGTAGATTGATAGCACCAACTGAAGCAGTTTACTGTGCAACCCCATGCACTCAGGCAATTTCTTCTTCTTCTTCTTAAGAGCGGCAAGGCAGGCGGAAGGGGGTGCAGAGAGAGAGGCAGAATCTTAAGCAGGCTCCATGCTCCCTGTGCTAAGATCACGACCTGAGCCAAAATCAAGTCAGTTACTTAAATCAACTGAGCCACCCAGGGACCCCAGATTCAGGTCTTCTTTAATTCAACGGAGACATCTTTTTTTTCCTGCTTTCCCAGCTGACTGCCCCAAATCAGCCACAATTGCATTGAAAATGGTACCAACTGAAATATTCTGATCCTATTACTCTTCTGCCAACAAACAAACAACAACAAACTTTAAAACCTTTTCCTGTCTCACAAACTAAAGGTAACAGTGTAGAATTCAGGACAATTCTATTATTGGTTTCATTTTTAATTTTATTTTATTTATTTATGATAGGCACACAGTCAGAGAGAGAGGCAGAGACACAGGCAGAGGGAGAAGCAGGCTCCATGCACGGGGAGCCTGACATGGGATTCAATCCCGGGTCTCCAGGATCGCGCCCTGGGCCAAAGGCAGGCGCTAAACCGCTGCGCCACCCAGGGATCCCTATTATTGGTTTCGATCTACACTACGTGTTCTCTCTCCATATTCTGTCCATCCAAAATTGACTTCTTCACTATGCCTACTTTCCCCACCTTCATGCTATTCCTTCCTGTCAGGTCTACAGAAACACCTACCAATCTTTTCGTGTCTGTAGCCAGGGACCTTCTTATACATAGCTTTCTTTGTTCCTTCTTTTACAATGCAGCTCAATTAGATTTCTTTTTTCCTCTTGAGGACCCCGTATTGTATTTTCTGAATGATTTTCCTATGTCTATTCTCTTAGTTAACTAATCATATACCTGTTTCATTCTCACTAGACTTTGTTTTGTTCATTTTGTATTTCCCCTGGTGTCTTGAATATCCTAAGTACTCATAAAGCTAAAACAGGCTGAAGAAATGTGAATATATTAGAGGAAGTTTAGACTTATGGAAGAAGTTTAATCTGAGTTATCATGTAACTTATTATAAATTCTAGGTTATCCCAGATTAATATGTTTCTACATGCCTCAAGATAGCATTTAGTGCTAATCTTGAAGTCTGAAATGTCTTCTTATGATTCAGGTATTAGCTAAAAATTAAGCTAAAATTAAATACTTTAAGTATTTGGGACCCTTGATATACAGGGAAAACACATACTTTTGTGATAATCTTAGTACAATTAAGACAGAACTTATTTATACAAAATCCCAAATGCAACCCATTTTCCCCATCCCACATATGTGAACCCACACAAACACTACCCCCAAAATATCACTAATTTGTCCTTCTACAACATCAGATTGGAAATGAAGCCCATGTACACAGAGGACTTATTTCTTGATAGCCACTTGAGATTTATAGATAAGTTTGACGTCATTCATATAAATATGTGCCTCTCCACCAAAAAGCAAAAGCCACAATCTCAAAAAGGGGAATCTTTTGATGTATTTATCAAGCAGCATCTTCAAAAGATTCTTGTACACAGGGTCATTTTAGAATAATGTCACCTACAGTAACACAGCAAGTCAGAGATAGTTTTTATCACATTAGAAATAGTGGGTTTTGTGAACTTTCAAGAGGAACGAATAAAGATAGTTTAATGCAATGTTAGTATCTGGATATAAGTAGATAAATTTCAACTATCCAATGATACTTTAAAACATTTTAATGCAAATATTTTCACCTCAACTAATTAAAATAAACCACCACCAACAATAAACATCTAGCCAACAAAACATTTATGAAAGAGCAGGTTTCTAAATGTGGCTAGAATCCGAGAATTTCAGACAAAGGAAATAGTAGTACAGGAAAGAAATTTCTTACCAATAAAAGATGATAAATAAGTCTAATAATGCTTAGCTTACAGATTCCCGTTAAAAGTCAAGTATTACCTTAGCTAATTTGATTGTGCCAGGTGGGAGGGAGGAGAGAAAGGAAGTCAAAGAAAGTCACAGAGAATTCTTACACTTCATTTCAACAATGAACTCAATGGCTCTTTCCCTCACAGCTCCCTACAGGTAGCAAACGGGGTGTGATTAGAATTTAATTTATACTTGTTCCCCCCCTACCATTTATCTAGAGAAGATGCAAATACAAAGGGCAAATGCCTCCAGGGGATGGTGGGCAGTGGCAAACAGAGAGGACTACACATGATGAAGGAAAGCGGGTTGTCTCTCATTTACATAAACTCCTCTTCAGGTACATTTAGTTCTCATTTAAACATTTCATGCTTACTCCAGTTTTCTTATCTTTAAAATGGGAAGAGAAGCGTTCATTTGAAGTATAACCTCTAATGAAAACAAGTCTAAATGAGTGCTGTCCCTACTTCACACAAGAATGTATTGGCTTACAACTGGAGAGACTGGAGGGTTACGGGGAGATACATCAGCTTCCATTCTAGAGCCCCACCCCCCTTTATTCCCAGGATGAAATGTTTTAAAAACTGCACACCTCATAGTACGGAGAGTGAGGATACACCGTAACACTTACCATTCTCATTAAAATAGAGGAGGAAAAAATTCCTATTTCAAACAAGAAAATGACATTCTACCTTTGGCTGGAGGCCAGTGCTGAAAAAATATATTAAAAAATGGGTTTTCCTCCTTGTATATATGGTGGATGTCTTCTTCTTCCAAGCCCTTTCCCTGCCTGTGCCCAACCCCACCCCAGCGCACCCACACTCTCTTGCTTCTACCATCAGCTTAAATACTGGACTAACTCACCAACCAAGTGCTTGCCACATACTCATTAGGAATTATGCTAAATAGAGAGCAAGGAGAAAGAGATGATGATTTTGAATGAAAATGTCAGCTGTTACAACTTACACTGCTACTTCACATCTAGCTGTTACTTCTGATTCCAGGCCTGAGGAGCATGAGGATTTATTTGGAGGTTAACTATTCTCCTAGATAAGGTTCTCCTAGATAAGGTACTATTATTCTTCCATTTTATAAAGTAAGGAAAATAAGAGAGACACACCAAGAAACACTAATTCTAGAGAACTGATGGTAACCAGAGGGGAGGTATTTTGCTCACCCTCTGGACAAAATAGGTGACAGGGACTAAGTCATGCACTTGTGCTGATGAGCACCAGGTGATGCACAGAAGCGTGGAATCACTACACTGACCACCTGAAATTAATAGAATGCTGTACGTTAACTGTGCTGGAATTTAAATTAAAAAAAGAATAAGATATTTTTTATGTTATAAGTAAATCTTTCTATTTGTAAAAAAAAAAAAATGTAAGAAAAATAAGTGGAGTTGGGGCAAAGACGTAGTAAGCTGCTCACATTCATAAAGCCAGTAAATTCTAGAGCAGGAAATAAAACTCTGTTCTGAGTCCAGAGCCTGGTTGATCTGTGCTGGTAAGATTTTTAGTCAGGTTAAAATGCAGCTATCAGCTTTGCCTTATCCTTGTCATTTTTCCTTCTGCCCGAAGGAGCTGAATGGTTTCTCTGCTATTAAAACATTTGGTTAAATTTGAAAGGGGAGAGAGCATTGCGATGCCGGTTATCCTGAACACCACGAGGGTCTTGCATATAGAAAGCACTTACAAATGTGAAATTTAATCAGTTTGGATGGAAGCACCATAAAGATGTAAGAAACAAACTTACTGAGGGCCACAAGATCCCAGCTGGACCCAGTCCTCTGTTAGATGTTAGCGGAAGCCAGCCTCTTACGTTTCCCCACAGTGAAATGAGTAAGAAGAGTTAGGCTTTTTCTACTGTATGTAACTTATAACGTACCTTGTAGCCTATTGAAGGTCCTTCATAAAGATCATGAGAGAGAAAAAGAGATGTCTGTCTTACAGCATTTATTACATTCACTATATATAAATCCTTCTTTTATCATCCACCACAGAAGTTGAAGAAATAGACTGAAATCATAAATCTTAGAAGTCTAATTTTGGTTAAAACTTTATATCTGGTTGTAATGTGAAATTAACTTTGAGAATATAAACACTGCATTATTAATACACACAATATATGAGATTAGGCCTTAAAGAATCTTAATGAAGCTTATTTAGCCAAAACTAAATAAGATTAAAATCCACCTTTCAGTGAGATACTGTGCAATTTCCTCAGTGTTCTCTGGCATATTAATATGTATCAATGATCAAGACACAGAAGTTCACAGACAAAACATTTGAAGGAATCTTCACAACTGAAGTCACTATTAATATTTCATACATATAATTAACATAATAAAATTTCATACCTATAAGTTATGAAATAGTAACTTCAATTTAAAAAATGGTAACCTTCCATACAAAAATTAACAGCCAGTGTTCTAGGGCTAAGAAGGGCAGGTTGTATTAGTGCTTACACTATACAACATATTATGTAAAAGAACCATGAAATAAAAGGTCTTCAATGAACTGGCTAAGATAATTATTTTAAGTATTTCCAAAGTCCATTCAAGAAATAAATTGTAATATGTTGCTGAGATAAAACCTCAATTCACATCAGAGGCTGTTCCAATCTGCTTCTCAAGACAAGTAGGACCATATATGAATGAAACAGAATAGAAACTAAAGGAAAAAAAGAAAAAAGAAAAAAAACCCAGCAGATCCCTCCAATCCAGATTTCATGTTGTGGGAATGTACATTTGAGGATGATAAGCACTCCATTTTCAGAAAACACTATAAAAGTGGTTTTATTAGTATTTTTTCTTTCACTTACCTTCTAGACGACCTTGGGGGAAACCTTTAGAGTTCTTCATATTTAAAACAGATGATATATTTAAAATACCGAAGGTACCAAGGTGAGTTACTGGCAGAGTCAGGGCAAACTCCCACCACTCCTCCCCTTGCTGTGAATGCCAAACTAGACATTTTGACTCTTCATATCCTGGCTACCCTAGAATCACTGAAGTTAAATACACAAAGTTCTCTTTACCACTTAACCTTGGCAAATGAGCATGTGTGAGCATGCACACATGTATATGCATGTGCGTGTGACGGTCTCGTTCAGTTTTATGGATGAAGAGCTTGCTCTGTAAGAGTGAACTGCAAGTGGTGCCTTTATTATATGGGAAAAGTTCATTTTACCTGGACGCGCAAGCTGACTATCGTTGGCAAAAATGCCAATGATCGATTTATGATATGCTACAGTCAACTTTTTTTCAGATTAGACAAAACCAGATGAGTTAAAAAAAAAAAAACCACAACAGTACTGATTCTCCCACCTACAAGTTATTAATAGGAAAAAGTTTTGGCAGATGAAATAAGGGAAGGTGAAATAAATCTCCTGCAAATTGTCTGGTGTCTTCACATTAAAATTAAATCATCACTTAGAACCTTCTTCCTGACTTCTTTTAAGTTTTAATGAGTTTCTGATTATTTATAACTTGGAGAAAATTAAAGACCTTCAGGGAAGTGCCACACCAGGCAAAAAACCAAAACAAAAAACAAAAAAACACTGCCCAACCTTTTATACTACCTCCTGTCAGAAGAGTTTGAGCAGACTGTTTAGCTTCTGCTTTGCTTATTCCTTACCTTGGCTCCTTCTAAAGGCAAATCGTGGCGTCTGTGTTTTCGCAGAAGCACTGGGTCAGAGCCCATTCTACTGTGCCTTCCATTTACATTTGAACTTGCTGTGATTCCAGGCTTTGGAGAGCCCTCCCCTAAGAGTCGACAACCCACTGACTGATTAGTTCCAAACACATCCCGAGGGCACCAGGCTTCAAGAGGCATTGGCTGGTCTCTAGAAGGCACACTTTCCACGTGATGGAAGTGACGACTCAGTCGGTTGTCAGGTGGGATCGGGGGAGGTCTCTCAGGTGGAGGTGGAGGAGGATCTCTTAAGGGAGGAGGCGGTGCTGGGAGTGGTTTATCTTGTTTTCTCACCATGCAAGGAGAAGACTGACGAGATACAATGGAAAAATAAATGAATTAGAAGTCGCACCATGAACTGAAAAATGATTTCTTGGCTAGTTAGTCTATTATCACTTTTGTTTTCTAAGCCATAATGGAATTTTATTATAGATCCCTGTGCCATCTTTTAATGTTTCTTTTTATCATCAGTTAATGACATGAAAAAAATTAATGAGAAGCTTATGTAGAAAATGAATACATAAACTTGAATGTTATGGACTATAAAGACTACACAGGAAAAAGTAGAATATCAAAATTATACGATGATTTTGACTCATTGAAAATAATATGCAGTCCTTAATTTATTTGCACCCTTTTACAATTTAGGAGAGAGGAAAGAAACTAGCAAAGTTATTGTTGTTTTACTTTTTGAAAGAGCAACTTGATTTGTAACATGTCTGAAACAATAAAAGCCATTTTCCTATTTGCTGCTGCAACATAAAGCTACTACTAAGGGGCAAATTTGCTCTGATCCTGTGTTTTACCAGTTATTACTAGAATAGTGGAAAATCACAAATAATAGAGAATTACTTATACAACTTATCTGAATTCTTATGGATCCTTGATATAAAAAAGAATCTAATTCCCATATGGAAATATGAAGGTACATGCACCTGAATTCAATCTATATGACTTTTATGGTTTTATTTTTATTTACATGGTTCATCTGATGATGATTTTGTGCTTTTATCGTTAGAAAATATTACAGAAAAAAGGAATGTGCTGAATGTTTACATAATTCTAACTAAATGCCATCCTAAAAAGTCTTAATCTGATCTTAAAATCAAGTTACCTGTAATTGAGAACAATCAAATACTAAAATATTGTGCTTCTGACTCATCTTAGACTCTCTAAAGTATAGTACCAAGTGGAATTAACTTTTTAAGTCTTTTATTTAATACAGCAAAATACACCCTTATCAAGTTTGGAAACAAAAGTCCTCACAAAACTAAACAAACTGGGGAACCCTGGGTGGCGCAGCAGTTTAGCGCCTGCCTTTGGCCCAGGGCGCGATCCTGGAGACCCGGGATCGGATCCCACATCGGGCTCCCGGTGCATGGAGCCTGCTTCTCCCTCTGCCTGTGTCTCTGCCTCTCTCTCTCTCTGTGTGACTATCATAAATAAATAAAAAAATTAAAAAAAAAAAAAAAAAAAAAAAAAAACTAAACAAACTGTAGGCTTAGATTTACGCAGTTAGGATTACGTCTTTAATATTAAAGAGTAATGTAATTACTCTGCAAATATTGTAATTCTTTGTAATTAATTCCTTCGGGTATAAAAAGTACTATACAAATAACTGCCTCTTCTGAGTCACCTTGAAACCTGGGTGATAATTTATCACATCATAAGCCCTTATGTAAATATACTTCCATCACATTCTTGTCATGACACTATGAAAATGAGTGTAAAATATCATTTGATAAGGGCATGCAATTTATTTTAATACATATAATGACTTTTAAAATCCATCTTACAGAATAACTGTATTTACTCTTCTATGCATTTTTGCAAATCAGGGAGACACTACAGACCTACACTCTCTGAATAATTATGTAACTTTTACAGTAATAAAGCAAAAATAGGATAGTGGGCTCAGCATAAACAAAATGAGAAACACATCAAAGTTCTTCATAAACAATTAAGAGCACAAGAAATACAAGTAATGGAATTCAAAGAAATCTGAGCAATCCGTAACTGTCACTTTAGTGATCTGTGTTTCTAGTAAAATCGGTTTACCTTTGGTGAACCAGTGGGACTGCCACAGGGAGACCGAACTATGCCTTTCTGAATTAGATCCAGGCGAGGAGGTACTGGTGGCAGGCTCAGATGTGGGATCTGGAGAGGATCTGGATGTGGCTTTCTTCTCTGTGCAAGGGGAGAGGACCCTGGTGATGTGACTGGTGAATTTTGCCTATCAGTGCACTAGAACAGAGAAGAGAAAGAGGATGTTGATTTGATGTGCAAAGTGCAGGCCTTTCAGTTCTTAAGGAAGACATTTGGTTTGAGAAGGTGTCTGCCATTGAACATCTGTTAAACTCAGTTTACTCTGATTAATAGATGGGAAGCACTCACATGGCCCCTCAAGGGCAGTATTATGGGGAAAAAAATGGGTAAGTTTCTCTTACATATTGCAGACAAGGCCTAGGAAAAAAAGAAGAGCAGAAACATAGTGTAAAAACAATCAAAGGCAAACATTTCCCTCAGAACCCCGTCCACATTTTATGAGGAAACCAGAAACATACAACGCAGTAATGCACACTGCTCTTGCTTTCTATACTATGAAATTTTCTTAAATCTTTGATTTATAGTGTATTCTAGAACTCAGAAGTCATTTTGTTCCATATAAAATATGCATCCAGTGCATAGCCTACTTTCGTACATCCTAATTAAATCAAGCAGGGTCTAAAAAATAAAAATGTGTATTTAAAATAAAAATAGCCCAATTGTATTTTCCTCAGGTGTTCATATGGAAAAGATACCAAGTTAAGTGTTTTTCTTTGCTACTGCAGGTTTTCTACATTGTTTTGTATTTCTGCTGCAATTTTCTACATTGTCTTGTAGATAAAATGACAATGAAAAGCCAGCAAGAAGTACTCTGTTTTGTACGTATGTAACCCTTTTTTATTTTGGGATTTTTCTTTTAATGTGATATAATCTGCTGGTGATTTCATATAATAATCATACTAATTAATAAAATGGCCTCACCAACGTAAACAGTATTGTTATGAAATAGTAGGCAGCCCCTTTTCAAGGCTAAGTTACTAGCTCTTTGGAGATCTAGGCTTGATTTTTATACCTACCGATGCTTTGATAGTCATCTGTTCCTAATGCTAGTATTTTCAGTGTTAAGCTGGTTATCAACCCATTTTCGCCCTGACATTACTCATCTTTATAAGAGCAGTCAATGTCAACAATTGACAATTTAATTTGAACTGTAGCAACAGTGAGAAAGATTTAGCCATCTGTCTTTATCTGAGGGGGGATGATAGATTTGTGTTCATATCCACACTTAGTTACACTGTATAAGGCTTTACTAAAATTGGGTTTGTTTGGTGTTTTTTCCTCTTAGACTAGGGTTATGGGGTTTTGGAAGGAAGACAAAAGTCAAGTAATATTTTAACCACATGGTATCAAGGGCCCACACTATCAATGATTCCTCACTGCTGATGCTGGCCTTTGATTATATAGCTAAGGGCTATCTGTCAAGGCTTCTTCATGGTCAAGTTATTCTCTTTTACTCTCCCTGTCCATTCTGTACTTCCTGCAGGGCAATCACTATGCACAGACCACACTTAAAGAGTGGGGAGCTACAGTCCCCACTGTAAAGGCTGCTTTTTAAAAAGATTAATTTATCTATTAGAGACAGAGACAAGGAGAATGGGGGGGGGGGCATGAAGCAAAGGAGAGTATCTTCAAACCAACTCCCTGCTGAGTGGGGAGGCCAACACAGGGCTTGATCTCAAACCCATAGAGATCACAACCTGAGCTGAAACCAAGAGTCACATGCTTCACTGACTGAGCCACTGAGGCACCCTGAGGTATTCTTAAAAGTAAATTTGAGTGGCTCAACAAAATCATCTAGTCCATCTCTCAGATATGCCTGAATATTGTCATGACACTGCTGAACTGCCAATTCTTTGCTTCTCTTTAGGGTGCCAAATAACTAAAATAGGTCAACAAATTTACCCATAATTTTACATGACATATTAAGAAACTTTTCTTCTTTTTAATAATTCCATGATTCTGTTTTATATCTCTTACCCTGTGATAAGACAAAAAAAAAATTTTCAATTGTTACCAAATTAGAAGAGAAAAAGTAGAAACTCTGTAGTCATAATAAACTGATTTTAATGTAGCCGCTATTCTTAATAAAATAATTCTACTGGGATGCCTGGGTGGCTCAGTGTTTGGGCATCTGCCTTCAGCCCAGGGCATGATCCTAGAGTCCTGGGATCGAGTGCTGCATCGGGCTCCCCAGGGAGCCTGCTTATCCCTCTGCCTGTGTCTCAGCCTCTCTCTGTGTGTGTGTCTCTCATGAATAAATAAATAAAATTTTAAAAAACAAAAACAAAAAAACAATTCTACCCAAAAATCCATGGAGTCCTCACATGGTCAGGAATTTGAACCTTCTGGAATAAAAACAACCCCAAAATGATCATACACATAATAGAAAGAATTCCTGATATAAACAATGTGCATCACAGTATCACAGTATCTTAGATCAGGAGATGTCACAGGACCTCTAATTCTCCACACATCCCATTAGGACAATTTGCAAAACCACCACCTGACAAAAATGCTTTGGTCACCTGGTAATTATCCTTTACAAAAAAGACTGAAGAAGCAAAACTATTTACAGTTCCTATTCCACACACCCCCCCAGCCACACACACACACACACACACACACACACACACACAGAATTACATAGCACTTTATCCATTTAGTTGTTTGCAGAGAAAGTTTTCAGCGCTAGGTGCACAAAATGGACACTGCTGAATAAAACCTCTGCTCATCTGAGCACTTTCCTTCCACAGCTATCTTCCTGCTTCCTTCATTACCTGAAAAAGAGAATTCTGACACAGCCAACAGACCACCTCACACCTTAACTTCTGTTTTAATTACTAATATTTAAACAGTTCCCAAGTTCCTAATATGTTTAAATAAAGGGATGGATCTGAGGTGAATTGAGTGAACTGTTAGATTTGAAAGGATATACCGAAAATTCTGAGGACGGACATCCAAACCAGTATGTGGGGTGCAGCAATAACCTTGAACTTCTAGATACTTCTAGAGAAACATATTCTCAACAGCTTTGTGAATGTAACTGGAAGCAGATCTTGCTTAAGCATAATTCATATTGTATTCTCAAGGCAATTATATACCATCCTCCTGAAAAACTAATTCATTTTGAAGCATTATAATATCTGTAAGTTGACTTAGAAGGATTTTATGGAGAATATATTTGTATGTGAAGAAACAAAAGATGTTTCATCTTTACTGAGTATGTAGACTAAACTTACCATATTTTATTTATTTTCCTGAGTTACCCTAAATCATATTAAAATCCCCATGTAAGAGTAGATAATTTAACAATGCCCTTTAGATACTAACATATTATTCTTTGCTGAACTTTCTGCTCTATGAATAATTCTGTAATCAAGAGTACTGAAACTTTGCATTAACTATTATTGCTGGCAAAATTCAATGTTAACTATGAGCATTTGTAAACATTTTTAGTAGGCAGTTTTAGTAGATGGTTCCATAAACGGCCACTTTTAATTTATTTGAAAAAAATCAGAATTTTTTCCTTCCTATCTGATAGTCTAAGGGGAAAAGACACCTAACACAATGCTTCACACCCCTTCTCATAATTAAATTCTTAGATGAGAAATCAAAAATTCATGACATAAAAATTTATCAACTCAATGAGAAGAACAGAAAGTTGGCCCTTTTTTTCCTTCTGAAAATAAAGAGAAGCAAATAGACTGATTCAATGTAGGTCTAAAATTATTCCTCCTTTAAACTGTACCTCTATCTCTATATAATATTTGGATATTTAATGGTCTTTCAAAGGATTCTGATTCTATAGCATCAGAATTTCCCGTTATATAGAAACAACAAATGCTCTAAAGCTGAGCTGTGCAAAGGAAATGTGGCCGGTCATCTTTAGTCTACCGATTTATAGTATTTTCCAAACAGATTCTATAATCAGACATTTCCCTCAGCTCTTCCTCCCGTGTCTTCTTCTACAGGTCTAATCCCCAACCCAAGATCACTCAGGCCATTTACTGTTCTCTACTTCTGATATGTGACAGTGGGAGTTGTTGGGGAAAACAGCAACAACAAACCTGGAACCTACTCTCTGACTCCAGTTTAAATTCTAAAACTGAACTATGCTAACTTAATCACCTCCTACTGATTTGTCCAATATTCCTTTATAATCACTACCATCTCCATTTTGTATAGAAATGCAGATTTAATACATGTACATAAAACTTCTTGAGTAGAAGGGTAGGAAAACATTTATTTAAATCCTGAATAATAACAGTTAAATATTTTATTGATAGGGATACACTTGATTGGAATATGTTAATGTGAAATGTGACTGTCAAACTGAAGTCCTAAAGCCAACTGATTATAAAAAAATCATATAATTTAAAAAAATCATATAATCAAACCTATAATCTGACTTCATACACATATATTTCCTATACGTAATATTTGAATTTCAGCTAGAACTTTAAAATGCCATGCAGTCTTACACAAATTACCTGTAGATTAAAAAAAAGGTTAATCTATTTCATGGAGACTTTATGGAATAATAAATTAAATGAAATATGAAATAAAAGCAGTTATAAAACAATTTATTTGGATGATATAGTTAGAAATATCGACTCTTTTGACATAGAAGTGATACAATACAATCTATTCCATTACATCTCCAAAATTCCAGTCAGAGTTTGTTCATCTTCACTATCAAACAATAATTCTATTAGAGATATCCTTAAACAAAAAGTTCCTACCCTTCTTATTTTGTCCTAGAAAATTCCTCTCACTGTCAGGCCTAAACAAAATCAAATACGAAACAAATAATTAGACTAAAGTCTTACAATGCATTCAAAAATCAAACATGTCATTTGAATTATTTGCTATTAATTCTTACCATTAACACAAAATTCTAGAATTTAACATAAATTTTTATTTTTTTCATCTTGATCTGGAAAGCATCTTACATATAGAAATAAATAAGAGCAAAAGTAGTAAAGAGGAGGTTAAAAGGTTTAGGGGTATGCATATTGTGTCAATTGTTCACCATGATAAATAAATTGAAGTGATTTTGGTGCTCATCTCCTTGTGTTTTCACAACTGCACTTTCATCATTCCACCTCCCCCCCTCATTTTAAAGGGCATAATTTCAG